CATGTGTAGCAGCTGGATGTGAGTGTGCCTAATAACTGCCATATTAATGATTCATACTTTTGCCAATAAAGCTTGCAGTGATCCATATTATTAAGCATTCTGTCTTATTTTTAAATATAATTGTTCTATAATTTCAGTGTTGTGTACTATAAATTAACCTGTTTGCCTAACACATGAAAAATCAAGTCTGGGATGAGATGAAAATGGCAGGGCTGCATCTGGCCTGAACATCTGGGACAAATCAAATACTGTATATGTGTATGTAAATGAAAAAATTGACGACATAGTGTTTTTATCTGCTGAAAATCACAATTTTTTAAGAAAAAAAAAACAGGAACATGGCTTTGGTGTGCTGGCAAAACATACTACCTAAACGTATTATGATCTATTAAACTTCTTTTTTCTTTTTGTCACATGCACATGTTTTATCCACATGACATAACCCAAAAATCAAAGAAGGAACCTGATGTCCAGTGCAGAAAAGGTTATTAAGTCCAATCTCATCATGATCTGATGACGAGATCATGATTCCTTACATATGACAGACTGACACCCACGATAGTCAACATGAGCTTATTGCGATAACCACAGGTTGTCCTTTTGGTACTTCAGGTTTTGTACTGACAGAACTACTGATACAGCAGCACTCCGACACAAAGCCAAGAGAATTGGTTGAAAGTAGATCTGTGGTAATGCAAAGATCAGAGAAGCTGGGCATTAACTCAAAGTGGGAAAAGGAACACACCTGCTGCTCTGATCAATATGATTTTTGAAGAAAACTTTGTGTGAGAGAGATCACTGCTAAAAAGTGTTGACAACAAAAAGTTAAAGCTTCGATCAAGCTTTAATGATCTTCATGGCCTTCATGGGACGATATTGGGAATATAAAGCTTTAAAAAAATAAACAAACAAACAAAGTCTTAATGCAATGTGACTATTAGGGAAATGTAAAAAAGAAACAAAACTGTGAGTTGGTGGAACCAGATGTTTAAAAATAAATCCTTATTTCAAAATTCCCCCAAAGAAGTGTAGATGAGTATTTAGTGCTTGGTGAGGTTACTGTGTTCAGTGGTCTGTGTCAGAGTTTCTTCCTCTTCAGCAGCTGCAGTCAGTTCCTGCTGTAACAGCTCAGTGTCTCTGCAGTCTGACTG